GCAAAAACTTTTACTATTCCAAGCAACCTCAATTCTACTTACACATCTTCTGGTGTGTGTGTATTGTGTCTTTTAATTCATAATCGCTAAAATATTTAATGTATGCACTCACAACAGACTTTCATTTTTATGATCCTCATTTTATTCATTTTACTAACTGCTGCAGCATAATCAAACTTTATGTCGATATTTTATTGCCGATCGATTCCATCTTTCTTTAGTATTGAGATCTCACAATTATTAAGTTTCCCAAATACCTATATTCTTCTTCTGGAAGTTTATGTACCATAGAAGGAAACTATTCAATTTTCAAAATCTTCTGGAATTTTACCACTCGTATGTAGCATCAAAATAGATCTAAACATTCTTATGAGGATTTTTATTATTGGAATCAACGGTTCTACCACTTATCAAATGAACATTCAATTAAATGATAGTGGTAGATGATCCTTAAAGGATGTAATATCAAAATTTGAAACATTAATAGCCTTCTGTATGTAACATATTTGCACATTTTTGTCAGACAAATGATATGGTCTTAAACGTTATCTCTTGAACTTCATGTTCGTGCTATCGAGGATCTAATGAGATAATAATGTTGTCCATTTATGAATCAGCTATTTTCACTTCTCCCCCTGATATTGGGATAACTAATTCGTTAACTGATTGTTAGCCAATCGAGTAGTAAATAGATCTCCTTTTGGAGTAATTACCTCGTCAAACAAATAATAAGCCAATCGAATAGTAAAATCCAACATCAATAACCCCAAATGCTAAAGTTGCAAACAATCCGTAATATATTCTTAACCTCTTCTGGAGGCTCCATCTTTTTGTACATTGTGGTGGAGTAATTAATATAAATCACACATCTCAATTTTGCATATGGACATGTATGGTTTCTGACCAAAAACCAATGTTTCGGAGAATATCTATGAAGGCCCATTGGTCTTATACATATGACCGGTGCCTTTATGTTTAAACACATTCTCAATTGTATATATGAGGTATTTACTTTCCTTTTGAACACTTTTAATGAAAGATTCCACTGGACCGTTTCACTTTTGCTTGTATAGGCACTTTATGTTCAAGTTTTATCTCTGAAACATTTATTCTGGCATTGAGTCATAAATTCACCATAACTATCAAATAAAAATTCTCTCATAACTGAATTGAAGTTTGTAGTTGATTTTCACAAACTCCAGGTTGCAAGTTAATGATAAACATAAAAGTGGCTAACTTATTAGCACATCAGTTAATTTGTTAGAAGAAACTCTTGGTTCTCCAAATTTAAATCACATGAACTTAGTTATGTCAAATGTGTTAACTTATTATAATCAGTAAACTTCTGGTTTGACTTGTTGGTACGAGAAGTGAACTTCTGGTTCCCTAGTAAACTTCGGGTTTACTATAAAACCCAACGATAATATTACATGTGTAGTATTTTAACACAAAAGAATACAAAGAAAATTTTTTTCTTCTGGAAACTGTAGTCTTTTTGCACAAGTATATGACAACAATTTTCTGATATTCAAAAATCTTTTCTCCAATTCTTTTGACATTGGTGCAAAAATTTTTTGTCGTTTTATTTACTCTTTCAGAGCCAAATTCACAAATTGTCTTCCGAAGATAATAAAAAACTAATTATTCAATCATGTCAAAATAACCCTTCTTCATAAAGGCATTTACTCTAATGGAGTTTTATTTACTCTGCAGGAGTATTGTTTAATCAGTTATTTTCATTCTACCAAAGTATTCTTATTCTTCTGGAGCACATATATAAAGTATAATATAACTGATGTTTTACAGGAGATTTTACCCAATTTTATTTATGGAGAAATGTACTTACATATTCCCAGTAGTTAGGGAGCATTCACAATATTGCATTTTGCCATTGCTAAATTCTGCTTTTCTGGAGATTTTGTCCAATTTTGTGAAGCAATTCATATAGATGCTCTACAGAAGCATGAAATCAATTTTGTTCCAACAAAAGAATGATGAAATTGGTTGAACTCATAAATCATAAGGAATAATAAAGTATGCGATGAGGTATATAATAAAGAAATTACTAATCTAAAATATAAAATAGATTACTGCTAGATGTTTTCATTATGAAAATATAACTAACCTTCAGAGTGATCATCAATAATTAGTTCTGATTCTTGATTTGTTTACCTTCAGGGAAAACATATAACTAACAATAATAATATCGTTAACACTTTTGTTAACGTAAATAGTTTTCTGGTTATGATAGAGAGTAACAATATGCTTTTAGCATAAAGTATGTATGTGATGATCTTTTATGCTATAATAATAGCACTATCTTTTACCCTTTTGCTCTCTTCAACTTTCCACTTCACGCGGATAATTTAATTTTCATTAAAATCTATCACTTCTGGTGATTAGAAATATTTTTCGTATCATTACCAATTCTCAATTATATTTGGTATTTCAATTTGTCCACTATTAAATTTCTGATAATTGCATCCACTTCAGGAAATGCATTAGTCCAATTTGGACGTGGCTAATAATTTTTCAACAAAGAAAAACTCAATAGTTTATTTAATGGTAACAAGAAAACAAATTGTTAAATCAGGAGCAATTCCTTAATTTTTGTTGTCACTAATCTTCCACTTCGGGTGAAAAATCATATTTTATATGTGATCTCCTTATTGTTATATAAGATTTACTATTTGCAACTTGGCTCGTAAAAGTAATTCTCCACTTACTTTAAGAAGTGAGAAATTATTTAATTAAGAAAATTATATGTGTCTCTACGCTTGATTTTCCTTTAAAAAATTTATATTAGTAAATTTAACAAAAATAATAAACTGCTACTCCAGGAGCAATTCGACGTTATACTAATAAATCCAAAAATCTCGTGAATGTAAACTCATCTAATCATTGAAAATATTTGAAAAAATAGTTATCACTAATTTTCAACTTCTGGTGGTTCGTGATGTTCCCATAATTTGTCTTGACTGACAGGGTCAATCATTATCGTTTTTGTTTATTCATATTAACCACTTCAAGTGGTCAGTTTATATGACTATGATATTTCAACATATTCAAATCCACTTGTTTCAGGAAGTAAAGAAAATCTCTTTGAATAATTTCTTGAAATTGCTACTAATGGAGCAAATTCAATATATGAGAAATCTATATATCTATATATCCTATTAAAATAATAGTCTAAGAGAAATAAAAAAAGATTTACATGTCGAGCTCTCATGCATCCGTTTCAAGCCCAACCAAAATGACGTTGTTTTGTAAAAAAACAAAAACTAATTTTCCTCCCACCTAATTATACTGAAACTTTCCATCTCTTTATAAAAAAAAAATATCACTGGCTTTCCTATTGATTGTTCGGAAATTAATGAAATCTTTGACCAAATCAAAAATGTAGACAATAAGAATCATACCATTAATATGCATTAATTCTAAATGTCTTAATCAATAATAAAGCTAGTTTACTGAAAGAAATTATTTTTTCGTAAAAATCCGCTCATTCTATTTTCAGAATGAGAAATTTTAATTATGTGTGTTCAATTAAATATTTTATTTTCAGAAAAAAAAAACCGATGCAGTATATGATTAAAAAAAATTGTTGAAATTTCACGGGTAAAATTACGAAAAAAAACAAAAGAAATATAGTTTTTACATTCAAATTCAACCACTCTAATGCCAATCGTTTTTTTACAAAAGAAATTGAAATTTCGCAAGTAAAATGATGAGAGAATCCAAGGCATTCTTCTTATATTGAAAATCAATCGTTGTAATATCCATCTTATTAAAAACATGTTAAAATCTAACGGATAAAACTATGAAAAAAATTCAAGAGAAACATTTTTCTTATATTTAAGCTCAAAGAAATTTAAATTATAATAATACTAATACCACTTAATTTTCACACTGTCTTTTTTTCACCTCATTTTTTATTGTTCACTTATTCTTTGTATTGTCTGTTTTTCTTTAGATTTTATTTTATAATCAACCATTAATCGAGTACATTATATTGTCTTCACAATTAATAATTATTTTAATATATTTTGTGCAACGCATGAGAGAGAACCTATTTTATAATAGAAAATGCTACTACAGGAGCACTTGGTTGTATCCAATATGTATAAAACAAAAAAAGCTTGCTGCACTCCTTGATCTGATCAAAATCAACTTACCGCACTCCCAGATCTACGAATTAAAATCTTCTCAGTTGGATACAGAGTCGTGCTGGTAACGTATTATAAAATAAATATGAAGAACTATAGAAAAAGAATAATAGAGGGAGAGAACAAAGTTTGAGACAGAAAGAGAGAATTCATCTGTGTATTATTCTGTGGAGAATGATCTTCTTTTATAGACAAAAGATACAAGAATAAGAGCTAATAATGATAAGGTCTAACTATGATAAAATCTAAGTAAATATTATATCTATGTAATTTGATTCCTTGTATAACTTTTTTGACTTGTGGACATTCACACCATTAAATATTTATAACAGTAATGAAAATTTTAAATATTTATATAGGATTCCATTCTAAATCTCTAAAAAGTTGGTAAAAGGTTTATCAAAGATTTAGGATCACATTTCCATTCAAAGAGTAATTTTCTTGATTTATTTTTTTAATTAAATTTGTAGCAAAAATGATAGTTCAAATCAGACTATCATTTGGAGAGAACAATCTCATCTAGCCTCCAAACCACGCCTTCAAAAACGGCTCACAAAGCTTGGATTAAAAGCGCGCTAACTGAATAAAACGCCTCTATCTTTCTTGGAAAAACGCAGAAAAATGGAAACATCGAGATTTGCGATAATGGAAATGAAACCCCCAGGAAATAAACCATAAACTGAAAAAGGGATTCCTTTTTTTTCCCATCTTTTGTTATGTTTTACACAATCAGATCATGATATTTGAAGTTAGAAGAAAACCCATCAATTTGTTTTCTGAATTGAATTTTTATTGAATGTTGAAAGATCAAGGTATAGGAAAAAGAGGAGAGGAATGAAGGGTCTTTTGGTGTCTTCTGTATTCATCTTCATATTGATTTTGACCATTGTTGTTGTATTCGGAGCTCCGTCAAACTCAGAGATTTCCAATCCCGATGGTGATGGTGCTGCTGCTGCAGCTGAATTCTCAGCCAGTCCATCCGATGAATCTTATCGTTCTCCTTCTTCCCCGTTGACATCGTAAGTTATCTATTAATCACTTCCGTAGTTGTGATTATGTGTGCATGAATTAAGGGATTTAGTTGATTGATCACTTTATGCAGTTTATGTTGTTATCTTAATTTGGATGTGAATTTTTGGGTTGCAATTTGATATTCTACCTTTGGATTAGAGTATTCTGTTAAGTGCCAGAAGAGATTTTGTTGATCAAACAAGGATTTTGAAACGAACTGGACAGAATCTGAATCAGATTTTGCAGGCCTTCTCAGAGTATGTTAGGGTGTAGTGAGTCTCGCAGAGATTAGAACTTCATTAGCTAGTAAAGTAGTAGCAGAAGAAGTATTTCAAATAAACTGACATTACTGCTCGGAAAGATTATATTTACTACAAAAAACCGGCAGACGCCTTCCAATGTATTTTCTAGGGATGAAGTCGGAATCGGAAATGCCTTTTTGATTTCTTCGCTTAATACTTGGACTGAATTGGTTGAAAGAGATGTGTTTCATAAATAATGATGTTTTAAGTGTTTTGGTTAAGAACTACTAAACCTCTATGATACTATGTGCTGTCTGATTCAGACATTAATGCTTCTTGTAAGTCCATAACTGCATAGCTACTTCTCTCTGATTCATGTCATTGTTTCTTCTTCTGATAATATCACTAGCTTTTCATCTTTAACAACTATGCTTCTCAGCATTGATCATTCAACTGTCAGATTGAATTCGGATTCTGGTTCCACAAATTTAAATGTTAGTTCTACCTAAAAACGGATACCTTTGTTGTCTTAAAGTGGGGATTTAGTAGAGTTCTGTTTTGGTGTTTGTTAATTAAATAACGTGTATTCTTTATAGAACTCAAAAGCTACTGCGACAACACCTAAGTCTTTATTCTACTATGTAATGTCCACTATGGTCTGTCACCTCTGTGATATTTTAAAATACACATTTTCATTTAAGTTCAAACAAATGTTCCTCTTTGTTGTTTTCTTTTCTCTGATTTGTTTTAGCTCTTACATTCCCTTTTGTTTTGTGGGACTCTGGTCATCCCTCTTATTGTTTGGTTGAATCAGTAAACGTGATACAGCAGTTGTGGCAGCCCCAGATGGCACAATTTATCTGGTGGAGGTTAGCTCCGGAAAAATTCTCTGGTCTTTTTCATCAGGCCCCTCAATTTACTCAACGTATAAGTCCCTTCCAGATGATGGTGGTGAGAGGGAAAAATCCGATGTTGCTGGTGATTTCTACATCGACATTGGAGATGATTGGCAGCTGTATGTCCATGGAAATGGCATCCCAAAAGTGGTAGGTCGATGCTGATTTTATATTACAAGTTTGTTTTGAGGTTTTGGATCATTTTCTTCCTAAAGCCTCCACTTTTTATGCACACTGCATTTCTTAGAAGATTTTGCTATTGCTGAAACCTGAAACTTTGTGTCCCACCTTAAATGTTTTTGCATAGTATTGTTTTTTCTCAATGGTTGTCTCTTATAAATTTTACTTTTGTCTGTTGACAGAAGCTCCCAGTGAGTGTGGAAGAATTCTTAAAAAGTACTCCGTTTGTATCATCCAACGGTGGAATCATGTTAGGATCCAAAAAGTCTACTGTCTTCATTGTCGATGCTAGAACCGGCAAAATTGTTCATAGTTTTTGTTCGGACAACCTCACAGCAGTAGATGACCACCATCATGGTCACGATAATCCAATTTTAGTGAGGGATGATACTGAATCTCCTAATGCTATGAACCTTGATAAGATTTCCGAGCCACTTTACGTTACTAGAAAAGACTATGCTCTTAAATTTAGTTCAGTGAAGACAGGAAAAGTCTTATGGTATCTAACATTTGCTGAGTTTGAAGCTTCCTTCCAATGCAAGGGAATCGAGAGTATTTTGGGTGGAGTTTTCAGTCATCCCACACAGAACCTCAATAATGAATTGCAGCTCCATTGTCCTGCACAGCCTCCTGTGTTTCGCATTCGTGACATTGGGTCCCTCAAGTCTCTGTTTGTGCCGAATGGTCCTCCAAATGCCCTTCCCGGAGACAAGGTGTTATCTTTGCCAGCACCAGAGTCTGATCCTATTTGGATAACTACAGAAAATATTGTAGCGTTCCATCAACGCAATGAAGGCGAGAGATTCCTAGCTCTACCGAGTCCAGAGTCTCAAGATCTTGGAATCATGGCTTTGCCTGGAACAAATAATGGTCAAATAACCGGTTCAGAAAGTCTTATTGCATCCCATTTCAGGGTGTTTACTGTTTGTGTTGCTTTTCTGCTACTAATTGCTTCGTTCATAAGACGTATATGGGGTATAAGACTAGGTAAGTTGAGCAAGCAAGCTGAGAGGGCTAATAATACCCCAGCTGTAACAGTTAAAAAGAAGAAACCTCGAAAGTCAGGATCGAGCAGCAATTCCGAGAAAAGGAAGAAGTTCTCAATGAATGAAAAAACCAATGACATCAATCTGAATCTTGAAGCATCGGAAATATCTTTGTTGCCTGACTTATCCAATATTGCTGAAGGTTTTACAGATGGGCGGAAAATTGGTAGACTGTTTGTCTCATCAAGAGAAATAGCAAAAGGCAGCAATGGTACTGTAGTACTTGAAGGAATTTACGATGGCCGTCCAGTTGCGGTTAAGCGCCTTGTAAAGACTCATCATGATGTTGCATCAAAGGAGATTCAGAATCTTATTGCCTCTGATCAACATCCAAATATCGTGAGATGGTTTGGCGTGGAGTATGATCAAGATTTTGTTTATCTGGCATTGGAAAAGTGTACTTGTAGCTTACATGAAATGATACTAGCCTACTCTTCACTAGATCAAACAATTTACCCAGATAGAGATTCAAACTCTGATTGTGATCAATCTATCCAATGGCGATTGCTCCTTGGAGATAGCAGTGAATTCGAAATATTGAAGGCTGATGGTTATCCTTCGCCTCACATGTTAAAATTGATGAGGTCAGTGTCAGAGGACCTTTAGCTCAACTTGTTATTTGTTTTATCGATTTAATTTTACAGTTCCCTTCCATCACGCTTGCAGTTTGGATTAAAATTCTTCTTTTGGGGTGGGTTTTTGTGTGCATCGCTATATGATTATTTTTATGTTTCTTTTTGTGAAAATTTCATCATATATCAAAATTCTTGAAGTTGAGACAAAGAGCTGATATATACTATTGTCAGGGATGTTGTTCGTGGACTTGCTCATCTACATGAACTAGGGATCATACATAGGGATATAAAGCCTCAAAATGTCCTTATTAATAAGGAAAGGGTTTTGTGTGCCAAACTATCAGATATGGGAATCAGCAAGCGCCTTTCTGGGAATATGTCTTCTTTGACGAGGCATGCCACTGGTTAGTTATAGATTCTTCAGTTATGTTGTGAATCTGAGGTTTTTGAAGGTATTTAGCACATTCTGTTTTGATGTTTTCTGTGAAAAGCTGTAAAATCTATGGTGGTCTGATGCAGGTTCTGGAAGTTCAGGGTGGCAAGCTCCCGAGCAACTTCTTCAAGAACGACAAACGCGTGCTGTGGATTTGTTCAGCTTAGGCTGTCTTCTTTTCTTTTGTATCACCGGGGGCAAACATCCATTCGGTGACAATCTTGAACGGGATATGAATATTGTCAATAATCGAAGAGATCTATTCTTGATTGAGAGTTTCCCGGAGGCCACAGATCTGATCTCATCTCTGTTGCATCCGAAACCTGAGTTGAGGTATTCTATCTTTATTCTCTTACAATTAATTTTGTTCCATGTAATGATATCCATAGCTGCACGTGCACAATTACTTTATAGCTATGTATGTTGTCATGTGGTATTATGTAACAATGAATTTGTAGTTATAAATATCATTCCCCTGATTCTTCTTAGAAGTAATGATGCCTAAGTCCTCAAGTTCAGGTAAAATTTTCCATTCTTAAAAGTTTCCATGCTGTTGATTTTCAGGCCAAAAGCTTCAGATGTTATTTGTCATCCATTTTTCTGGGATGCAGATAGGCGACTTTCATTTCTTCGAGATGCCAGTGATAGGGTAGAATTAGAGGATAGGGAAAAAGAATCCGTACTCTTGTCTGCACTGGAAAGTACTGGAAGTGTAGCTTTCGGCGGTAAATGGGACGACAAAATTGACACTGCATTTATCAATGACATTGGACGTTATAGGCGATACAAATATGATAGTGTTCGTGATTTGCTGCGTGTTATTCGAAACAAGTTAAACCACTATAGAGAACTTCCTAAAGAAATCCAGGGGATTTTAGGTCAAGTACCTGAAGGATATGACAGCTATTTCTCTCGACGATTTCCTAAACTTCTCATTGAGGTGCATAAGGTGTTTCGCCTCCATTGTGCAGAGGAAGAAACCTTCAGAAAATATTTTAGATATAGTGAGATTTAAGCCACTGATTGCAGGTATACTAATGAGCCACTGAATTGTAAATATTGTGTATAATGTGAATCAATTGGTTTCGAACAAGTTTTCTTGGGATCTTAAATATCTAGATATTCACATTTGATTTCTTCACTATTTTGTCAATCCGTTCTGATACTTATTAGTTTTTTTTCAAACCTATCAGGTGAACTTGTCCAAGAAAACAGTACTTATGCTGGCATTTTGGGCACATTCGGCCCCCCACACCACCCTATATTTCACCCCTTTTTGACTATCACAAAGGTCTTCACTTCTTTTCATAGTTGAACAGTGTGTGATAGTAATTTATATCACTGTGTACATTAACGAGATCAACTTATCACTTCAATTGGAAACTTTATCAGCATTATATCCTTTGCAAGTAGGGTTCTTGTTCTTATCTTCCAGGATGATACGTATCTTCTTCCTCTTCCTGTCCCTGGCTCAGCTGGTATCCCCATTTGGCAAGGTTTCAGGTGTTGGCATTAACTATGGCACGCTAGGAAACAATCTGCCATCACCAAAAAGAGTGGCTCAGTTGCTTCAATCCACTCTCATTGATAAAGTCAAGATTTACGACACCAATCCAGACATCCTTGAAGCCTTCTCCAACACCGGGATCGATCTCATTGTTGCTGTGGAGAACTACCATGTTTCCAACATAAGCTCCAGTGTTCCAGCTGCTGATGACTGGTTTGCAGCCCGCATTGTGCCTTTCATACCAGCCACCTCCATTGTTGCAATCGCGGTAGGTAATGAGTACTTGACTAATGATGATGATGATGCTAAGTTAGATCACAATGCTTTGGTTAAAGCCATGCAAAACTTGCACCAGATTTTAGTCTCGCGCGGGCTGGATCGGAAAATCAAGGTTACAACTCCTCACAGCATGGCAGTCCTTGCTTCTTCGTTTCCTCCTTCTTCGTCCACCTTTGCTGCCACCCTCCTCCCGACAATGACAGAAATTGTGGGTTTCTTGGCAGATACTGGGGCGCCATTTATGGTGAATGCATATCCTTATTTTGCATACAGGGATAACCCTGGAATGGTGAACATTCAGTATGCATTATTGGGCAATGCCACAGGAGTTCGTGACCCCAAGGGCTACACTTACACCAACATGCTAGATGCTCAGATAGATGCTGTTCGCTCTGCAATTGTTGCCTTGGGATTTGGCAATCGCACTGTTGAGATTACTGTTTCTGAATCTGGGTGGCCATCCAAGGGCGAGGCAGGGGAAACTGCAGCCACGCCTGACAATGCAAAAACATATGTTTCCAGGCTCATTGAGCGCGCTCAGTCCAGTAAAGGGACCCCTATGAAACCCAATGAGAAAGTAGAAATCTTTGTATTCTCCCTGTTCAATGAAAACAAGAAGCAAGGAGGAGCTAGTGAGAGGAATTTCGGGATGTTCAACTCAGACGGATCTCAAGTTTATGAAGTTGATTTAAGCTGTCAATTTTGCAGCAAGAATGGGGATGATAATAAGATGGGATTTGGAGAAAAAGTGTCTGGAGGCATTGTTAGAGGTCCATCGGTATGGTGTGTGGCCAAACCCCATGCTGATGAGAAAGTGATTCAGGCTGTCCTGGATTTCTGTTGTGGACCTGGTGGTGTGGATTGTAGGGAGATTTATGAGAGAGGTGACTGCTATCAGCCTGATAAGCTTCATGCTCACGCATCGTACGCCATGAATGCATATTACCAGATGCATGGTAGAAACTACTGGAATTGTGACTTCAAATCCACTGGACTCGTTACATTCAGCGACCCAAGTAAGTTTTAACATGTTTGTGAAGAACCCAACGTCCTGTTATTGTTTGTTCTCAATTTTTTCTACTATTTTGTTAACTCTTTGCCATTGAATTAATGTCGTAACCAAATTGTTTTAAGCTTGCTTGTTTCAGATGACTCCCTCTTGGAAACTGATCTTTTTGCTGTTTGTTTTGCTCAGGCTATGGCAAATGCAGATACTCCCAACAGTGAAAGGTGCAATTCAACTTTGGGCTACAGCTTTTGTAATTGTACTGCTTAGTCTACTCAGTGATAATTACAGATTACTGATGCATTGAGTCCTTTGTTCATCATGGTCATGATTCTAGTCTTCTTTTTCACATTGTGATGGATATCATATCAATGGAATCTCTTCTGGGGTATTGAATGAATTTTTCGGTGGAAACTTTGAAATCATTTTCAAAATCCTTTTTTTATGCATTATGTCTACAAAAGATGAGCATCTGGAGCGCATGGCACAATGCTCCAGATAAAATGTCCCATCTCCAATTATGAAAAGGCTTGTTTCTTTTACCTTTTCTGGTCTAGCTTGACAATTTTCCATAAAGGCTGCCCTTACCTTGGCGCAATTTAAGGAAAACTCTGTAGCTAGTACTTTGTTGTACTAGTATTATGTTTCAAAATAGACTTCCCACAGGACAGAGCTATACTATTGAGTAATTGGTTCTTTTCTCAAACTAACCACTGGGCAGAGCTATACTATTGACTATGGGGATTGGCATATGCATATTATTCACCTCTTACTACTTTGGCGGCTTCTTAAAGCATTCAAAGAAATTTCTTAGGCCTTGTTTGGACATCAATTCACTCATTTTACCTCTTAACACGAAATCCAATGGAAAAGAAAACATCATCCAAACAATTTTCTGATTTACATTTTAAATTCCAACTTGAAATACTTTTTGTTATTGTAATGACCATTTTAGAATTACAAATAGTTCAGTGACAAATTTAGAAGAATTCCGTTATTGAGTAATTGTTATTGAGTAATTGTTTTTGGAAAAGTTCTTTTTTGCAGTGATTATAATTGACAGTATTTAATTATTTAGTGATGACTTGTACTTAATATCTCAAAATGTAGTTCAAAATTTTTTTTTTTCAAAACCAACATTCAAACAATCCGGGCCACCTGACTTTGCAGTACTAATTAATTTGGATCTGAGAATTTTTGAAGCAATAGTCTTCGTGGCTTCGCCTTCCATAGCTGTAATAATTTTCACTTTGCAGGGTGGTTTTCTGAGAAGATCTTCATGTTTCAGAGCAAGGGTGGATTCCATTTAGCTGAGATTCTTTCTTTTTGATAACCTTTAAAGTTGGTTAGCTTTAAGAACCATATGAGGTTCTCTAGAGATGATCCACTAAGCATGTCTTTGCAGCCACTGACCAATTCGGCACACCTACCAATCACAAAAAATACACCTGATTCATTCACATTCGTGAACTGTACCCGTCAAAGTTGTTGGATAGATGAATAAGTGGACAAAACAATTTCTACAAAGAGTCAAGATTATATATCTTCTAGAGTGAATCCATGAATTTATTGCTTAAAAACCATAAAAGTCAATATTTTATGTCTTCCAGTGTAGAGTACCTTAGTTAATTCTTGGGAACTTGGCATAATTGTTTATGAAAGTTTGCTATGTAGTAAAGATCTGTTTCTGCTATATGCAGGTTTAGCTTGTCAAGCATGTTTTTTTCCCCACAGTAAGAGAAGTAAATGTTGGTTGGTGAAATTATCACTTACGATTAGGCCCACTCTTTGCACTACTGTAGCTTCTAATAAGTTCCTTTTGTGATACCCTTGGACGTATGGTGCTACTCTTATGGCTTTTTGTGGTTCTAATGATTAACTCTAGTTACACAGCAAGCTTTAAGCCAGGAGAAAATTGGAATACCTTTGCAAGCCACTCTTTTCAAGCTTTTTCTGATAGTTCTAGCATTCTCTTTTGCACAGAACTATCCGATTGAGGAAATTGGAATACCTTAATCCATGCTTGACGCGCATGGATCACCCAAGAGTATGCCAGAGAACTAGAGCATGGTCAGAGAAATGGTGGTGTTGCTGCAGTGGTGGATAAACTCCTTTATGTATAATGTTTCTTGTCAAGTCAAAGAAATTCAGGATTATGTGCAAGGATCACTAAAAGTGGTTGGGGATTCGTGAGTTTCCAGCATTATTAAAATTTATTTTGATAGATATTTTTATTTCCCCATATAATCTCATATGACAACTAAAATCCATACTTTCTCTTAACCTGACAAGATAAAAAAATTCCATTGTCGCTTCCTGAATGATCTGCCCAAATGGTATGGTTTTCTGATGCAAGCAATGTTTCTACGAATGGTTACTTAGTTGTTTGTGGTATCGTGTGCCTGTTAAACCGATGGCAATGCTAGCAATGTGTCTTCCTCTGTCATTCGTTCTTCCACATATCATATCACATCATCCTTAAAAAATGATTACAACAACATTTTGAGACCATAAGTAGAGCAAAAAGGCTCCATGCACTCTTGAATTTCCTGACATGGGGGCGGGGGGGGGGGGGGAGGACACTCGTCACTTAAACCTGAGGCATTTCAATGAGACTCTCCCTTGCCCATTGATTTGTCAACTTCTATCTGAGCTCTCTCTGAGAATGGAGATCTACAATGTATCCACGACAAATGGTTGACTAGAAGCAGTAGCAGTCCAGATAATACTGAAATTGATTCACAGCGCCCACACTTACCCAGTTTCTGGGGCCTATATCTCTTTTGTGGCCTTGCCTGCTTTCTTGCACTCTTCTTATACTTCTTCCAGATTATGCATGAGTTTCAGAAGATTTTCCTATAGAAGGTTGACGCATAAAAAGAGGAAGACTGAGAGGGCAGTGTCAGATAGTAACATTGAAAAATAAACTTCTCCAGAGATGAAGTAAATTAAGCTAAGGACTAAAATATCCAAATGGTCCCTTACATTTGGGCCTACTTAAATTTACGTCCCTTACATTAACATTTCAATATCGTGGTCCCAAACATTATGTTTTCACAATTTTTTGTTCCCATTTTACTGTTTCCGGCTGTTGACATGCCGGAATTAGGGTATTTTTGTCAGAGTAAAAAAAAATGGTTTGGATTTTTCTTTTTTTTAAAGAAATTAAATTTTGAATTATTTACTGTAACTCGGTAAATTTTTTAAGTTACAGCGGGTCCAAGGTTAAAAGTGTATATAATTACTATTTATTTTGACCTAAGATAAATGATAAACGAAAAAATTAATTTTAAAAATAATGTAAATTTTAAAATTTTATAATAATATTTTTAATCAATAAATAATATTTTAATAATTAAATAATGAAATCTGAATTTTAAAATAAAATTTTAAATTAAATTAAAAGACAAAAATACCCATGATTCCCGAATGTCAACAGTCGGAAATAGTGAAATGGGACCAAAAAATTGTGAAAACATAATGTTTGAGACTACGATATTGAAATGTTAATGTAAGGAACGTAAATTCAAGTAGGCCCAAATGTAAAGGACCATTTGGACATTTTAGTCTAAGCTAAATTATTTATTGATTCAATTTCAGTTCTTTTAAGTATGTATACGTATCCTTAGTTTAACCACACATTAAAAGAAGTCCAAAGGGGATTGCAATTGATGAACTGATTGACACTATTGAGTGTCACCACCTTTAACCAGTTGTAACTATGGAAACTTTACATCCCCTCCATCAGATATATGCTCAATGTTTTCAGATTTTTCAGATTTGTTCTATACCAATGTCCCACATTTTTTTCATTATGTTCATTTTTCTCGGAAATTTTTGTTAGTGCTGCACACATTAAAAGTAAAAGAGTGTGTTTAATGCTTAATGAAGAAATAGTACAAACAACAGTTTTGCTTAAATTCTGCACGGAGGAAGGACTCCTTTTATGAAAATTGTCGATGATGTCAAGCCTGGTTGTGCAAGCTAGACCAGAAGAGGGCAAAGAAGCCTTTTCGATCATTGTAGATGGGACAACATGTATCTGGTATCTCCTATGTGTTTTAGAGTGACATTTATCTTGTATCTCCAATGTGCTTTAGAGTGCGGATTTTCATGGCAAATCACCGTGGTCTTTATTGCAATGTGAATCCAGAGAGGGTGTGTATTACACATGCTTATAAGGTGTGTGAAGTAGAATCTTTTTTTCTCTTTCATTATCTCTTAATAAAAAGAGAAAAATAAAATAAAATCTCTCCCAAATCTTAGTTCTTCTCCCTTATCTTGGTTTTGAATATTGAACTAATCGTTCTTCTTCCTTTTTATTACTGCGGCGTCCCATGATTTTCTGTCTGTTATCAACCAACATGAACCATTTAAATAAAACAAAATGTAGAAATTTATGAATAACTTTATTTGTACAATGTACCAAATAAACTATAATTTATATGAAACCTTAATTTACAATAATTTTGCAAATATGTATGAGCATTACAGACGATGAATTCCTTTTGGATTTGTAATTTTGCAAATATGTATGAGCATTACAGTTTATACGTATGAACAATAGAGTTTATATGTATGAATAGTAAAAGTGAAAGGTATGAACATTAAAATAAAATAATTATGATATTAATATCTGCTTAAAAACAAGCTTATTAATATTAAAGATTTTATGTACAAACATCAAATATCTATCGTATAAACATATATACAAAAATATAAATGGAATGAATTTTTTCCAAAAAGAAATTTAGTAAATTGTGTATGATCAATGCAATTTAAGTATATGATATAGATAAAAATATAAATGGAATGAATTTTTCCAAAAGAAATTTAGTAAATTGTGTATGATCAACGCAAGTTAAGTATATGAATTCTAAAATAGAGTCCTATGAACCTTTATTTAAAAGTTCCTTTCTCACTACATCAAAAATAAAAAATAAAAACATCTAATGTATGAACATAAATGAAATGATGTATGAACATGTATGACAATGATTATTTAACCATTACATCCTATCTCATCTAAAATATGAAGGAAAAAATCATATATAATAACAATTGTTTCTTATGAACATTAATGAAACAATACATGAATACTGTGTTATAAATTTGTGAAACCAAATCATATGTAGACGTGAAAATATAAGCAAAAGTAAACCAGTTCCATGAATATAATAAAATTCATGAAACTATGTATGCACATTACCTTCTTAAAGTA